TGGATTGATTCAGTGACTGGGGTAATCGGGATGGGTGTGTCAGAGGCAATGCGATTGGCACAGGCTAGAGAGGGGTTTAGGACTGTTGTACATAGGGTCGGTATGAGTCACAAACGACTCGACGGCACATAACAACAACAACAGAGCTAGGGAATTTGAACATTTCTTCATGTGCTTGTTGGCCATCTGAATTATTTCTTTGGTCAGTTCATATCCTGTGCCCATTTTTCGATTGGATTATTCACCTTTATCTTGTTGTGGTGCTCGAGTATTTTATAAATTCTAGATATAAGTCCCATGTCTGAATGTCACTACCAAATATTTTTTCACAGTGTGGCTTCCCTTTTTACCCTGTTGGAGAAGGTTTTGGATGTGCATAGGAATTTGATTCTTAGAAGGCCCCATTCATCTATTTTATCCTCTCCTGGTTGTAGATTTTTCAGGATGCTTGGAACACCATTTATGTTGTTGATTAGTACTTCTAGAGTCTTTCCAAGCTTTTCTTTAATGACGTTTATAGTCCTTGGTTTTAGTCCTAGGTATATAATTCACTTTGAATTGGTTTTTGTATATGGAATGAGGTGTGGATCTTGCTTAAGTTTTCTGCAGATAGTTTTCCAATTTTGCCAGCGCCATTTGTTAAAAAAGCTGTCGTTTTCCCACTTAACTAATTTCATATTCTTATAAAAAAATCTGTTAACCGTAGGTAGATGTGCTGATTTCTGTATTCTCAGTTCTATTCCATTGATCAATGTGTCTGTCATTGTACCAGTATCGCACTGTCTTGACCACCATGGCAGTGTAGTAGGATTTGAAATTAGGGAGTAAGATGTCTCCTACCTTGTTTCTCTTTATAAGGAGTGCTTTACTTTGCTTATTCGGGGCCTCTGTCCCCTCCAAATGAAATTGGAGATTGTATTTTCCACTTCGTTGAAGAATTGAATTGGCATTTGCATTGGGATTGCATTGAACATGTAAACTGCCTTTGGTAGTATTGTCATCTTCAAAATATTGAGTTTTCCTATTCATGAGCAAGGTGTATTCTTCCATTTATCCAGGTCTCTTTGTTTTTTGTAGTAATGATTTGTAATTTTCTTTGAGTAGTTCCTTTGCTTCTGGTTATATTTACTCCCAAGTATTTAATCTTGAATTAGCTAATGTGATGGGTATTGTTTTTTCCTAGCTCCAGTCCTGTATTCTCTTTGTCACTTTAGAGAAATCCAATTGATTTTTGTATGTTGATCTTGTATCCTGCACTTTGCTAAACTGGTCAACTATGTCCAGTAGTCTTCTTGCTGAGACTTTAGGGTTTTCTAAGTGTACTGTCTTATCATCTGCATAGAGAGACAATTTTACCTCATCTTTGCCAATTTGGATACCTCTTATTTCTTTCTCTTGTCTTATTGATATCATTTAGAAGACCAATACAATGTTGAATAGGAGAGATGATAGTGGGCATCCTTGCCTAGTTCCTGTTCTCAAAGGGAATGCCTTTAATCCCTCTGCATTGAGAACAATGTTGGCTCTCAGCTTTGCGTATATACTTTTTACTATGTTGAAGAAATTCCCCTTTACTTCTATTTTGTTGAGTGTTTTAATCAGGAAAGTGTGTTGGATTTTGTCAAAGGCCTTTACTGCATCAGTTGAGAGGCTCATGTGTTTGTTGTTCTTTGCTTTGTTAATGTGATGAGTTACATTGATTGCTTTTCTTCTGTTGAACCAACCTTCCATAGCTATTATGAATCCTACTTGGTCATGGTGAATTATATTTTGATGTCATTGGATTCTATTGGCCAGGATTTTATTCATGATTTTTGTATCTATGTTTATGAGAGATAATGGTCTATAGTTTTCTATTTTGGTGGTGTCTTTACCTGGCTTTGGTTTATAGGATATGTTTGCTTCATAGAATGAGTCTGGGAGAATTCTATATTTTTCTATTTTCTGAAATAGTTTATGTGAGATTGGTAACAGTTCCTCTCTGAATGTTTGATAAAATTCACTTGTAAAGCCATCTGGTCCAGGCCTTTTTTTGACTGGAAATTGTTTTATTACCTTTTAAATTTCTTCTTTTGTATTGTGTTCTGTTTCAGTTTGTGTCAGTTAGGTAGGTTGTGAATTTCTAAGGATTTGTCCATTTTCTGTAGGTTTTCATATTTGTTTGAGTATAATTTTTCATAATATTCCAATGTTAGCCTTTTTATTTTAGTTGGTTCTGTGGTGATGTTGTCCATTTCACCTCTTACTCGCATTATTTGTGTTTTTTCCTTCTTTTCCTTTGTTAGTTTTGCTAGTGCTTTGTCGATTTTATTGACCTTTTCAAAGATCCAACTCCTTGTTTTGTTGATGGTTTCAATTGTTTCTTGGTTTTCTATTTCATTTCTTTTTGCTGTAATTTTGATAATTTCAGTTTTATTAGAAGGTGTCGGGTTTTCTTGCTGTTCTTTTTAAATTTTTTTGAGATGTTGGTCTAGAGAATCAATGGTCATTTTTTCCTGCCTTTTGATATGGTTGCTTATTGGTATAAATTGACCTCTGGCTACTGTTTTGGCTGTTTCCCAGAGGTTTTTAGTAAGTGGTATTTTCATTGTCATTTGTTTCAAGAAACTTTTTAATTTTATTTTTTATTTCTTCTAATATCCACTTATGTTCATGCAAGGTATTGTTCAGCTTCCAAATATATGGGGTTTTTTCCCTCCTTTTTCCTCTTGTTATTAATTTCTAATTTTATAGCATTGTTATCTGAGAGGATGCTTTGTATTATTCTATGTTTTTTAATTTATTGATGCTTGCCTTTTGACCTTATTTGTGATCTATTTTGGAGAATGTTCCATGCACATTGGAGAAGATAATATACTGTGTTTTTTTGGGGTGCATTAGCCTATAAATATCCATGAAGTTGAGTTGGTTTATTGTGTGGTTTAATTCTGAGCATCTTTGTTGAGTTTTTTTCTGGCAGTTTTATCTTTTTTTGAGAGTGTTGTATTGAAGCATCCAACTACTATAGTAGTCTTGTCTTTTTTCCTTTTTCAGTTTTGTTAATGGTTGTTTAATATATTTTGAAGTACTTTCATTTGTTGCATAGATATTTATTATTGTTATGTCCTCTTGTTCTATTGACCCTTTAAGTATTATGTAATGATGTTCCTTGTCTGTTGTGATGGTTTTGCATTGAAATTTATTTTACTGGAGATTATTATCACTCCTCCTGCTTTTTTCTGGTTGCTATTTGCTTGTTATATTTTTTCCCCATTTTATCTTCATTTTTCAGGTGTGTCTCCTGTAGATAACATATTGATGGATTTTGTTTTTTTAATTCTTCTCTTCCATGGTGCATTCAGACCATTCATATTCAGTATGATTATTGATAGGCAGGGTTTTATATCTATCATTCTGTTGAGTTCTTTTTGGTGGTGTTGCTAGTTATTTTGTCCATGCTGCTTTGTGTGGTACATCTGTAAAAGGACGTCTCTTCTTATTTTTTGCAATGCTGGTCTTGTTTTTACAAACTCCTTTAGGTTCTGTTTTTCTAGGAATATCTTGATTTCTCCTTCATATTCAAAGGATAATTTTTCTGGTTACAGTATTCTTGGTTGACAGTTGTGTTCTTTGAGTGTTTGATATTTTTCCTTCTACTCTCTTCTTGCTCTCATGTTTCCGCTGAGAAATTGGCACTTGATCTTATCTTCTCTTCCTTATAGTTTACCCTTTGTTTCTCCCTCGCTGTTTTCAGGATCCTCTTCTTATCTTTGGTTCTGCCAAATTTAACTATGGTATCCTTGATGTTTTTCTTTTGGAGTCTATTCTATATGGTATTCATTCAGCTTCTTGAATATATATTCTCTCATTCTTCATTATGCCTAGGAAGTTTTCTTCTAGTAATTATTCCACAACTTTTTGGTGCCTTTACTTGCTTCTTCCTTTTCTGGAATTCCAATGATGCGCATGTTATTTCTTTTGATAGTGTCACACATTTTTCTTAGTTTTTCTTCTTTCTTTGAGTCTGCATTTTGCTCTAGCATATCAGTAGTGACAATTCTATCTTCTGTCTCACCGATTCTGTGTTCCATCTCTTCAATTCTCTTCTTGTGTCCCTCCATCATGTTGTCAGCAGCTGAAACTTTGGACCTCATATTTTTGATCATGGTTTCTTGTTTTTTCAGTGCCACTAATGTCTTGTTTGTTTTATCTGCATTGTTCTCTAATTTTTTTTTAAGCTCCTCCTGGTTTTTTTCTTGCAGTATCCTGTAATTCTTCAAGTTTGTCTTTCATCCATTGAAAATATTCAATGATTGTTCTTTTAAATTCTGTGTCAGAAAGTTCCATCAGACTTTTTTTTTCTTGTACAAGTGAGATGTTTATTAATTGCATGGAAAATATCAATCAGTAACCGAAAATTTATAAATAGTATTTTCCCATTTCTATTTTCTGCATTGTTCTGGGTAAGAGGCAAAGACATAATCCCTTTAACAAAGTAAAAGTTTACCTTACAAAAAAGAAAATAATAAAAATTGAGTGCAAAAGCCCACATTGGCAGATACAATGATCAATTTGTTACAACAGTGCAAAAACAGACCCAGCAGCATTCACCATCACTGAAGGATCCCCACACGCTTGTAAGGAAAAAAAATCATCGTAAAACCTCTTCAAGTATTTCACTTTGCAAGATAGAACAACAGTTCTCCTATAGAACTTTGATCAGGAAGACTAATTCCTTCCAAATTGTCTTCTTCATCTGTCAATCTAGTCGAAGTTCTCGGGTGTCCAGTGAGGGTGGAGGATTCTGCAGGGTGAGTGTAAATGTGCCCACGCAGGACAGACTTATCAACTATGTCCTACGTTGCTCATAATGGTTTTGTGCTGTGTGAATGCTTGCATGTCCTGATGCCATCTGATTGTGGAAAGGTGGCCCCACATTCCTTATATGCAGATGGTCTATCTGGGGGAACTCTTTAGGGATAATTTGTGTACCAGGGTCACAAAAGGATTCCCTCCATTCCTAAGTTCTCTCTCTTGTGTGAATTTTTCTATGTACTGAAGTGACTCATCTGTGAAAAGATATTCCCACATTTGTGACAGTCCTAAGCTCTCTCTCTCCAGGGTGAATTCTTCCATGAGGGGCACTGACTGTCAAACTCCTTTCCCACATTCCTTACATCCAGGTCTCTCCCCTGTGGGAATTTGTGTTTGGACAGTTAGGCTGAAGGTGACACACTGATATCTCTATTCCTAAGATCTGTCGCCTCTGTGAATCTGAATGTTTGGTGAGGTACCCTGCCGCTGAAATGGTTTTCACATACTCCTTATATTCATAAGGTCTCTCTCCTGGGTGAATTCTTCTATGAACATTCAGACACCTTGAATGTCAAAATGTTTTCCCACATTCCTGACATTCATAAGAGTGGAAGGCCAAAATAAAATTTAATATTAATAATAAGCCTAGTGTTGTATCAGGAGATGACAGAGGCTTAACAGAAGCTAGAATTCATGCTGTGACACTATGCCATTCCTTAAGAGTCCACATCGTTCTTAGTTTGTAGTGACTGAATCCCTCCCTCCTGAGATAAGCATAAAGTAAACAACAGAGAGGAATCTGGCCTTATCTGCAAAAGACTTCCCCATGAGTCCTTGTGTTTGTTTCCTACTTCCTTAGGATTTTACTTTGTTCACCTTCTTTCTGATTCTCCATAAATACTCAGGAAGCGTGGCTGGGGGTCTTCAGTGGAGAACTGCTGGCCCCCTGCTTTTCACACTCTCTGTTTTAAATCATTCCTGGTAGGCTGTCTCATTATTAATAATTATAAAAATACTTTACCCGCAGTTTGCAACATCTATGGTCTCTCTCCTGAATGAATCCTTCTATGTTCAGTGAGGTGACTTGATTGTGTAAATGTTTTCCCACATTCCTGACATTGGAAAGGTCTCTCTCCTGTGTGGACTCTTCTATGTACAGTGAGGGTACCTGAATCTGAAAACGCTTTCCCACAGTCCTGACATGCGTAAGGTCTTTCTCCTGTGTGAACTCCTTTATGTTGAGTGAGTGTATCTGATCGTGAAAATGTTTTCCCACAGTCTTGACATTTGTAAGGTCTCTCTCCTGTGTGAATTCTTCTGTGTACAGTGAGCTTCTTTGAATGGGAAAATGTTTTCCCACAGTCTTGGCACTTAAAAGGTCTCTCTCCTGTGTGAACTCTTCTATGTAAAGTGAGGTGACCTGACTGTGAAAATGCTTTCCCACAGTCCTGACATTCATAAGGTCTCTCTCCTGTGTGAATTCTTCTATGCTGAGTGAGCTGATGTGACTGGGTAAATGTTTTCCCACATTCCTGACATTCGTAAGGTCTCTTTCCCGTGTGAATTCTTCTATGTTCAGAGAGGTGACTGGATCGGAGAAAGGTTTTCCCACATTCCTGACATTCATAAGGCCTCTCTCCTGTGTGAAATCTTCTATGTCCAGTTATGTCCTGTGATCGTGAAAATGTTTTCTCATGGTCCTGACATTCATAAGGTCTCTCCCCCGTGTGAACTGCTCAATGTAACATGAGGCTCCCTGATTCAGAAAATGTTTTCCCACATTCTGTACATTTATAAGGTGTCTCCCCTGTGTGAACTTTTCTGTGTTCCTTGAGATCAGCTAACTGTGGGAATGGTGTCCCACATTTTTTACATTCATAAGGCTTCTCTCCTGTGTGTGTTCTTGTGTGTCTTCTAAGATGAGACAAGTGACAAAAGGTCTTCAAACATTGCTTGCATTTATAAGGTCTCTGTCTTCCGTGAATTCTTCTATGTCTAAAGAGGTCCCTGGATTTTAAAAATCCTTTCCCACATTCCTTACATTCATATTTTCCCTCACTTGTGTGAATTCCTCTTTGTTTAAGGAGGTGATCCAACCGTGAAAATGTTTTCTCACCTTCCATACATTGAAAAGGTCTCTTTCCTGAGTGAAATTTGGAATGGAGAGTTAAAAGAGAAAGCAGATGAAAGGCTTTCCCACACTGGTGACACTCATAAGGTTTCTCATCTGTATGTGTTCTCACATGTCTTCTAAGGCATGCCAAAGAAGGAAAGCATTTTCCACATACGTTACAATTATACGGCTTCTCTACATGGTCAATGTTTCTCTTTCCTGTGCTGTCTAATGTACAGAAGAAGAAAAGGGTTCCCCATTTTCAATACACTCAAAAAAATTTTCTAAAAAAGTAAATGCTTCTTTGGAAACTAAAGGGAAAGGATTCCTGCAGGTCTCAGCACATTCTGAAGGATCTACCACATGGATCCAAAATGAAGAGAAGGTACAGAAATCTTTGCCACATTTCTTACATTCATGGTCGGTGTTACCAAGGTCACTCCTCAACAGGTTTATGTCAACACGGTTGCAGGAATAACTTGGAAATCTGATGCGCATTTTCCCAGGGTCTTCAATCCCTTCACACAGCTCCTGGACTGTTTGACTTCTCCAACAGTTCTCTTTGAGTTTATGTAGATGTTCTTTGCCACGGAGTTTTGCCATTTTCTGTAACATGAAAGACCAAGGGTGGGTAGTCCTTAAGAATGCCAGCTGAGTACATTCAAGGGATAATGCTTCTCCGTCATTCATGTGTTCACGGCCTGCTATGAAATCCAGGTTGTCTAAGATTTCCATCATCACCTCCCTGTAGAGTCTCTTTTGAGCAACAGTCAGCAGAGCCCACTCTCGCTGGCTGAAGAAGATGACCACGTCGTCAAGCAACAATGGTGCCATTTCTGTGCTCTGTCTTCTGGAGTTCAAAGGGAACCGTGTTTGTTAGTATGAAGAAATCCCTTCAGGACGAGCATCTGGGTGGGAGAACACAGGATAACATGGAAGCAGATGAATGATGTGTGGTCCACACTCCCTTGACACGGGCTCAAATCCTCCCTTCGGGTTTACAGAAAGGCAAGATGGAATGGAGCTCATTCTTCAGCGGCTTGGACTGGACATGCTTACACGGCACTTGAGAACCGACAAACCACGTGCCCCACGTGTCCTGGAGCCGCTGAGCCCGAGGTTTTCAGGGGAGCGGCGGCCGCCCAGACCCGGGGGTTGGGAGTCCTGGGCACAGGCCGGGTCACGGAGCGCGCGGGGATTCAGGACAGCGGTCTGTGGGTCAACGAAAAGTCACCATAAAGAAAATGAGGGCGCAAAGCCAGACTTTTTGACTTCAGGAAATCCACTGATGCTGTGTCACCTTTTGAGGGTGACATCTTGCTTTGCACTTGTGTCATGCATGTGATAGCTTGCTTTCTTTAAGACACTGATATATTCTTGATCTGAAGACAATACTCTAGAAGTCCGTTGGGCAGCTACCCCACTCGTGTTTTTCTCTGCACTTCTGATTCAAGGGAAAGTTCAGTTCAGGGCCTCTGAGAACCGCCTCTTATAGGCAAGTCAGATCAAGATGCTCTGGGTTAAAGGATGATTGACTGGATGTGTAGGCACAAGTATGGAGCCAAATGGGGGCTAGGGCAGGCATGAGGTGGTCACCCACTTGCAGGACCTCACTCAGACCTCAGCTCTACATGTGTACTCACAAGTTAGGTCCCTACTCAAATTCCAACTGCCCACCTCCCACCCAGTGGCTCTCACTGAGCTGTCTCTGCCAAGCAACGCATACCCAGGTAACCTCATGCAGTAGCTCTTGCCCCACAGTGTCCTGGGTTCAGCGGGACCTGAGAAGACACAGCCAAATTTCAACTGACCCACTCACCTCTGGCTGGTCTGTGGTGTCCACAAAAGTTCAGTCAAATTCCCACAGGCCCACTCACTCTTGGGCATTCTCTCAGGCAGTTGACAGTGCCTACGAAAACTCAGATAAATTCCCACTGGCACACCCATTTCTGGGCAATTGGCAGAGCCCAAGAGAACTCAACTGAATTCCCATCTGCTGGCTCACTTTTAGGTGCTCTCCTAGTCAATCATTGGTGCCCAAGAAAACCCTGTCAAATTCCTACCTGATAATCGGTGGTCAGTGAGGGCACAAGAAAATTCAGTCAAATTCCAACAGACCCACTCGATCTTAGTGGTGCTTAAGAAAACTCAGCCAATTTCCCACTAAACTTTCTCCCACGGATGGGTCGCACAGCAGCTCGGCTGGTGCATTCTGGCTTTAGAAGGGCCCACAGCATGGCAAGCAGCACAGCTCTATGTTCCTGTAGCTCTGAAACTAATTGTTCCAACAAAATTTCTGATTCAAATTCCTACTGTCCACATCATGCCATGTTTGTTGGTCTCTGTGCGGTATGAAGGTCTCTCTAGTGGCCTGTCTCTATGCAACTTCCTGCTACTCTGGCTCTTTACACTGCTTTCTCCACTGCCGCCATCTTGGAATCGATCTCATTTTTGTGAAACTTTCACTGGATGTATAGCTATATATTATGGTTATGTCCTCTCATTGGGTTTAATCTGAATACAGTTCACTTCTTTTATGTTGTTTTTTTTTCTCTTGATATCTATGCCATGAAATTGGAAAAAATATTTGCCAATGATATAACTGATAAGGAACCCATAACACAGGCTATTTTGTTATGTTTTAGGCACCATGGTTAGCTTTACTTGAAATTGTTCCATTGAAGAAACACAAATGTACCCAGACTGCAGGTGTGGAAATGGAAATTTTGTCAATCATGTGCTAAAGTCAAAGTTTGCAGCCAAATCAGATGCTGGTGCCTGTGGACCCCAAAAGGTTCACATTAATTTCCTTAGAAATTTCTAAAATCCTCATTCAACTGCTAAAAAAAGTTTTAAGTTTTGTGAATAACCATGAAGAAAGTGCCTCAAAGTTTTTTTTTTAAAAGATGATTGTGTTTTATTGATTTTATGAAGACATTTTACTGTGTATCATAATAGATTATGGGTAATGTTGGGGGGGGAAGCCTGTTGCAGTAGATTTACCCAATGCATTATATCATTTTGCTTTCTCTACTACAGATTTTAACTTATCCCCTGCTGTATTCTTAAGAAACCAGGTATTTGATGGTTTTGTCTCTCTAGTGTTTTTTTTTTTAATTAATTTCAATGAACATTTAGAGAGATTTTAGATCTTGCATTTTTCACCCCAACCACCCCACACCCACTCCAGTTTGATCTTCTCTTTGAAGAGCGAAAGAAAAATTCCTTCATTGGTATACAATCCCCCCGGACCGTCCTACCCCCACCCCGAGTATACTCCACTCTGCAACCTTCATTCCAGACTCTTATGATAATCATAATGCCCTAAAATATATTGCTTTTAAGCGGTTCTCTCCCTCGTCGGTTTCAATGCAGTGTACATAATTCATCCAATTTTTCTCATTCTTACCCATTCTACACTCAGTAGCGCTGTGCAATATTTGTCCTTTTATGATGGAGCTATTTCACTCAGCATAATGTCCTTGAGAGTCACCAATTTTTAATAATATTGCATGAGTTCCTTGTTTTTCAATGCAGCATAGTAATCCATTCTGTGAATATACCACAGATTCTCTGTCCATTCATTTGTTGATGGGCACTTAGGTTGATTCCAACTCCTTGCTATTGTGGACAAAGCTGCAATAAATATGGGTGTGCATATATCTGCTTGGATGGTAGCTCTGGTCTCTTTAGGGTATATTCCCAGTAGTGGAATTGCTGGGTGAAATGGTATCTCTATTTGCAACTTTTTGAGAAAGCACCACACTGCTTTCCACAGTGGTTGCACCATTTTGCACTTCCACCAACAGTGAATAAGGGTTCCAGTCTCTCCACCATCTCACCAGCATTTGTTGCTTACTGTTCTGTTAAATTTTGCTAGTCTTACTGGGGTGAGATGATATGTCATAGTTGTCTTGGTTTGCATCTCTCTTAAAGCTAAGGATTTTGGACATTTCTTCATGTGCTTGTTGGCCATTTGAATGTCTTCTTTGGTGAAGTGTCTGTTCATATTCTGTGCCCATTTTTCAATTGGATTATTTATCGTTATCTTGTTGTGGTGCTCAAGTAGACCGGTCCTTAGAGAGGGACATCATGCTTTGGAGGGTGGAGGGACAGTGCAGGAGAGGAAGGCCCTCTATGAGGTGGATTGATTCAGTGACTGGGATAATTGGGATGGGAGTGTCAGAGA